CACATTCATCATCTGATCAATAGTAGATACATGTCGCGATTTCGTGAATTATAATTTTGTTCACGTGAATTATAATTTTGTTCACGTGTCATGCTTATATAAAAATACATTACGATAAATACTTTTGATTTTAAAATTTGTATCGCCTATAATTTGACTGATTCTAAATTACGACTCGCACAAATATTTAATATTTATTTTATGGCTTAGGAAGACGTCACGAGCAAGGACCGTGACCGGATGGATCTTGCGCCGGATAATGGAACGAGCCATGTTAGCCACGGAGTAGCCAATGGCCCAAGAAGTGTAACCCTTTAGTCCAATGACCTCATAGGCGCTCCCAACGACGCTTTGGTGGATTTCCTCTAGCGTTTGTTTCTCGTAAGCAATCTGGTTCTTAGGACAGGGATGCCTCCCACACTTATGCTCGACCACAATGCCACCACGAGTAAAGATAATTAGAAATATTGATTTAGTTTTACATTGGCATTTTTTATTAATTTCACTCTTCTAATAACACGTTTATCGTTCAAAAATTTAATCATTTCTCTTTATCGATCTCGTAAATTTGCATGAAATTGTTGTTGGACCACTGAAGCTCGGAATTTTTCTTTAGTCAAGGATAAGGTCAAGTTTCATTTGCTGGCTGATCTCGTCGCAAACTGATGTCCAAACAATTCTGCGTGAATTTTCAACAATGGCTCAGAGGCAGCATCACGATGACTTGTGAGAGGTGGTTCTTATGTTTGAAAATAGTTTCTCTCAGTAGTTTTTCTTGCATGAAATTGTTGTTCTGCTTAAACAAGATAACAGAACCTGAACTGGCATTGTTACCGTTTGAAGCATTTTTTACTCAGTGTATGGGGATGGTAAAATCTGTGCTTGAATGTAAACAATATAAGCCAAGTCTAACTGGTCGCGTGATGGATGAGAATGGAGTTAACATTTGAGCAGAGGAAGAGGAGTGCTTCAAACACAGTTGGTGGCATTGTGTCTTCACTTTTACCCAATGAAAGGATAGTTCTTTTGTGCAACATACCAGTGAGAAGGTAACACTCTAACCAACGATAAGATATGTGAATGCAAATTGTTTGGTTCTCTCTTACTTACCAAGTTGTGGCCCTGTTAATTTTGTTTTCTTCTCTGGCTTAGTTCTTGTTAAAGTAATTTGAAAGTAGAGAAGTTTCAGTTACCAAATTCCAAAACAAAATATGATCTTGTGGACACATAAGGATCTTATTGCACCATATCTATGTATCTCTCTTATCAGTCTCTTCACGGCGTAGTTATAAAGATATCATTATTTTATGGATGTGTTCAAGTATCCGAAATTAAAGATACGATACTTGATTTGCATGGAATAGATGAGGAGGCATTGTTACAGCCGGTGACTTGTGGATTTAGTTTGAAAAATATTGCATTGCATCTAGTCAATTTTTTTGGTGTGAACTGTGATGCTGCAATGGTTTCCTGCCTCCATACAATCACCATTCCCTGGTAGTTTTTAGTTGTATAAATGATGCCTGGAAGAGTAATAATTGATATTCCAACAGGTATTTTGTTCTAACAGCAAGTGACCTAGAGGAGTGGTACCAGAACCCTGAGTCCTTTCATCATTGAGGCCTTGTGCTTAAGCTCTGTATATGGTTTTGTTTGATCTTATTGTTCTTGTATTGAAGAGTGTTTTCCTGTGGAAGTTCCCCCTCTCATCACCAGGTGAATTTCTAGTTGTCTTTTTAATATATGAAAGATCCATATTCTTCCTAAAAACATTTGATGGAGTTGGTTTGTTGGTTTTCTCGCAGAAACTGGTGATTGTTTGCTTGAGTGGAGATGACCGATATCCATCCAAGACTGCAGTTAGAGCGTCTTCAGCTGCTATCCTGGCTAGGATTCTGGTGATGAGATCCCTTAAGAGGCGGTAAAGACAAACTCTTTGATACACGCCGAGGACAATGATGCGCTGACCAAAGAGATTAATGGGAGGAGAAGACCACGATGGCAGATTATGGTTGCACGATGGCAGATTATGGTTGCAGAAAGAAGTAAGGGAAGTTATTGATTCC